TATAGAGCTGTAAATACAATGCTTCAAACAAGTTCAGGTGAAAAGCAGTTTCCCTTAAAGATGTTAGTATGTCCAGACAGCGCAAAAAATACCATCATCACACTTCCTTGGTTTGGATTAGACTTGTTATTAGACGTAGTACTCTTCCTTGTACTGCTTCAGATATACCAGATTAAATGTTCAGTGAGAAACCTGCCAGATGCACTCGTGGCCTGGAAAAGGCTGTGAGCCACTGAAGCGGGTCTGTCCGTGCATTTCATGAGGAAGTGAGAGACCACCTTACACAGAATGATTTCTTAACTCTTGTGGTAGTAACTGAGTGTTACATCTAATAGCAGATATCTCTCACATTCAGATTAACAACAAAATTTAGTTGGCAAAACCTTAAAGAAGGTCTTCATTAACAAAGATCTACAAACTTCTCTTTACATCAGTTCTTGAATAAGCGGCTACGGTGGAAATAAGTTTCCCACTGTGAAAAAGGCAAATGGTATTTCCTATGTAAGATTACTTTTTAAGCTTAAAAAAGTAGTTATTTGTCCATTGTCCTTTGTTTAAATTTTGGGTTTGGTGGGGCTTTCCAACTGCGAAGATGTCCGATATATCAGGGTCAAGAATGGAGAATTGTGGTCGCTGAGAACCAATACTGAGGTAAGAGTTTCACCAGCCCAATCCGTGATTCTACCCTCATCCTCTTCCCATGCATCTCAAATCCAGTATTTTATGATCTGCCAGAACTTCCAGGATGACTTTTCTCATGCCAACCCAGTCTCATGATACATAGAGTACAGCACGAGCAGTAAGCAGCACAGGCACAAGATAACCCTCCAAGATGCTTCAGTATCTTTGTCTTTCAAGATTTACCTCAAAGGAATGTACTGACAGAGGAGAACTCGTTAGGTTGTCTACAGATGTACCACAGGAGCTGGCATAGGTCTTTATTTTTGCTTTAAATGGAAACAAAACAAAACCCCGTGTGTAAACTCATTGGGGTAGAACAATGAATCAGTGCTTTGTAGAAACTGGTCTTGCAAATCTCCAGCTGGAGGAACCATGGGCTGTTTGGACCTCTCTTTTTCACTGCTCCTTTTTTGCTCCTGTTCTCAGCATGACGATAACTAGCCAGTCTTTTACTGGTTTGGTTTGTGGATCCAGGGTTATGAGAGATGATTATTTACAAGTGCTTCTTCAATAACTGTAGCTGTCCCTCTCTGTCTCATAGTAAATACCTTCTAAACTCATGGAGATGAAGAGAATGTGAAGGATGGTTAAAGGCAACTGACATTTTTTAGGCTTTAATAATTTTGCAGTGGCTCTGTCATCTTTTATAGGTTGTGTGGAAGCAGACGCTTGCAGCGGCGCAGGAAAGAAGAACCACTGAATGTTGATTACTAAATCACTGTTGATGACTAAATCACCATTGATGATACATGATTCCACTACACTGGCAACATAGATCTTCACAAATATTGTGTAGTATCTAATGCCACAACAAACACGGAATGCGTTCATCAGGGAACATTCAAATAGTTGACGGCTCTCATGTGCACTGCCGGGATATTGTAGTGTGATCTGGACTGTGGCAGGATGGCAACAGAGTGGAAGGCTTTGTCAGCAGCTGCTGACTCCTACTTGTCAACTTTCACAGTCTAACATGCTTTCCTAATGTTCTTGTTTCTCTTCTGCTCCTTGCTTTAGATGTCAAGTCTTTCCCTTTTTCCAGGTTACTGGATTCAGTGCAGGATTGGGCAGATAGAAGTAACACGTAGAAAACAGAAAGGCGATCTGCTTCACAGTGCCAAATCCCAGGTGCCAAATCCCACAGCT